ATAACAAGTGAAGTTAATGTAGTTTTGTAGTTATTACCCCTGCAGCTTAAATATGGTAAAAATCAGGGTACAGTAAAGAATGTGGAGTGATGGATGATCAAATACCTGTTTAACTTTATTTACTACTGAAATACCTTCTGATATTTTAGAATGAATGTGTGTAATATGAGCTTTCCAACTAAGTTTCTCATCTATCACCACCCCCAGAAATCTGTTTCGTTAACCCTTTCAAGGTCTATCCCATTTATTTGAATTGCATTATTTGTGTTTAACTTATTTCCAAATATTATTTTTGTTTTCTTCAAATTTAATTACTTGTTTTTATCTAACCAGTGCTCTATTTTATTCATTTCTGTAGTCATTATGTTAAAAAGCTGTTGAAATCATCCCCAGAACAAACATTCGTATCATGGGCAAAAAGAACAAGTTTTAATACCTTGGAAACTTGGGAGATGTCATTGATGTATAAAATGAATAACTTTGGGGCCAACAGTGACCCCTGTGGGACTCCACAAGCAATGTCCAGACATGAGGAGCAGCAGTTATTTAAAACAAACCCCCGATGCCACAATGTTCCAGTTTTTAACACTATTTCATGATCTACTGAATCAAATTCTTTTTGTAAATCTGTAAATAACCCTGCAACACAATAGTTTTAGTCTACTGCATTTGTGATGTATTCCTTTGAATCGAGTTAAGCCAGTGATGTTGATCTACCAGATCTAAATCCAAACTGACTGTGAGTACTTTATGTTTGTCCATTAAATTATTCAGTCGGTTATCAAACAATTTTTCAAGAATTCTGGTATGAAAGAGACAGACCGGTAGTTTTCGAAGTGGTGTTTGTTGCCAGCTTTGTACACAGGTAACCGTAGCCGTTTGAGATGATAGGTTACAGATTTATGTTTATGCTTTTAAAATAACCTCCATTACCTTTTTGGCTATCATGTCAATGTCATCACAATCCAGGGAGTTCTTATTCTTACATTTCCTATAATTTCATTTTCATCCACTGCTGTAAGAAACAGAGAATAGATTTGTATTGATCCAAGTATCCAGATTTACATTGTCGGTTACTGTTTTTGCTAAATCTGGTCCAACATTATTATTAAAACTGTTGGCAACTATATTCCTCCTGGTCATCGCCCATAAAATACTCAGGGTAGCTGTTACGTGACCTCATTTTCTACAACCCTACTGGGCACACGCCACATTGTTTTGATATTTCAGCCGTCTCGGGTGGTTTCTAGTGGGGGGGTGGGGGTGTTGCACCTGGACAGGTTCCTGACCACAGAACCACAATCTAATAACGTGAACATGTCTGCTGACAACTAGAAAAGAAGTACCTGATTTTTAGGGAACGTCAGTAAAGAGGAAGACATATACAGGTCCTTCTCAAAAAATTAGCATATTGTGATAAAGTTCATTATTTTCTGTAATGCACTGATAAACATTAGACTTCATATATATTAGATTCATTACACACAACTGAAGTGGTTCAAGCCTTTTATTGTTTCTAATATTGATGATTTTGGCGTACAGCTCATGAAAACCCAAAATTCCTATCTCAAAAAATTTGCATAGTTCGTCCAACCAGTAAAAGAAGTGTTTTTAATACAAATAAAGTCAACCTTCAAGTAATCATGTTCAGTTTTGCACTCAATTCTTGGTCGGGAATCCTTTTGCAGAAATGACTGCTTCAATGCGGCGTGGCATGGAGGCAATCAGCCTGCGGCACTGCTGAGGTGTTATGGAGGCCCAGGATGCTTCGATAGCGACCTTAAGCTCATCCAGAGTGTTGGGTCTTGCATCTCGACTTTCTCTTCACAATATCCCACAGATTCTCTACGGGGTTCAGGTCAGGAGAGTTGGCAGGCCAATTGAGCACAGTAATACCATGGTCAGTAAACCATTTAGCAGTGGTTTTGGCACGGTGAGCAGGTGCCAGGTCGTGCTGAAAAATGAAATCTTCAACTCCATAAAGCTTTTCAGCACATGGAAGCATGACGTGCTCCAAAGACTCCTGATAGCTAGCTGCATTGACCCTGCCCTTGATAAAACACAGTGGACCAACACCAGCAGCTGACATGGCACCCCAGACCATCACTGACTGTGGGTACTTGACACTGGACTTCAGGCATTTTGGCATTTCCCTCTGCCCAGTCTTCCTCCAGACTCTGGCACCTTGATTTCCGAATGACGTGCAAAATTTGCTTTCATCTGAAAAAAGTACTTTGGACCACTGAGCAACAGTCCAGTGCTCCTTCTCTGTAGCCCAGGTCAGGCACTTCAGCCCGTTTCTGGTTGAAAAGTAGCTTAACCTGGGGAATGCGGCACCTGTAGCCCATTTCCTGCACACACCTGATTTTGAGATCCCACAGGTCAAATGCACAGCCAGGTCAACTTACCCTGGTTATGACACATCCTACAATCTTTCCCCCTCACAGAAGACTCGAAGTCTGCATGCAGTCCCTTTAATCAGCACCTCACACCAGCTGGACTGTAGGGATAATGAATGATAAACATTTTCTCCTCCAAGCTCCATCACAGAGGACCTCTTTAAAATAAACTCCTTTATTCCCAGATGGAAGAAGAAAGAAGATTTTATAATTAAAGATAATCATTAAATACTGCCATTTATAATTATAATGAAATGTTCATTAGTCTGTGCTCAATGATTGTTTTAGTATGTTCACTTGACGAGGTCATAACATTTGCACTCACAAGTTAAGTTAAAAATGCATGACACATAAGTTGACCTTTTGCCTAGATTTGTAGTCTCCGTCACAGAGGGTGTGTCTCTGCGATGCTTGGTAACATCCTCAAACGTGCCAACTTCTGGTTGGCTATTCAAGATAACATCAATCCATTAGAACTAGTGTAGCGTAACTGCAGTTTCATAAATCCAAACAGGTGACTTACCTTTCTCGGATTTATCTGGATCACAGGAAATGGGGAAGCAGATGATACTCAAAGGAAAAGTGTAAGAGGCAAAAACAAATCCTTCTGCTGGTTTGTTGTACACACTGTGGCTTTAGATCTTTTTACAGTAGGATTTGTGCATAAAAGCACCCTCTAGTGGAAGTACTTTAAACATGCAGCGTGACAAAGGAAAGAATGAAAAATAAGTTTAGTCTAGTTCCAGACTTTGGAGTGGATTCTTGAAAGTACTCTTAAAGGGACTTCACGGAGTTTTGAATTTTTATGCTCGCGATTGCCCCCTCAGGCCAAATGCGTAACAGCAGCTTCAATAGGAGGCTCGTGCACGAGGCACGCGTGCTGTACGTGCACACTCAACGAAAATAACAGCTGAGACAGTCCTGTGTGTGTGTGGCCCAGAGGACAGGAGAACATGCAGCTAATTAAATAATGTGGTTCTGTACCTTTCTCTTCAGCACAGCCGACAAAGGTTTATGATGGGTCAGTCCTCCTGCATGCTCAGATCATTCCCTTCCCTTGCTTGAAAAATTGTTCCAAAATGAAAGTTGAACCAACATCTTTTTTTTCTGTGAATTCAATGCCGTTCGGCGAGTCTCAAATAAAAATTTGGGCATCTTACTGTAAAAAATATACCATTAATGTAAAAAAGAAACTCTAAAACAACTATGTCACATCCAGAATCAAAGCCGGGTCTTCCGCAAGAAAGCCCGCAGTCTTATTAGACGAGCTAAACCACCAGTGATGTCTTTTGAATCTGTAACATTTATATTGTCGATGACAGCTGAAACAGCGTTCACAGAACGCTTCGGAGGGCGATGCCTGAGCGTGAACGCGCATGAAGCAGCCTGCTCGACCCGAGCATCTCTCTTTTTCTGTGATTTTACAGAAAAACAGGCAATCACAGTAAAAATGCCAGGGCTCATTCTACAGGACCAGGGCATTGCAGGAGAATGTATGAAGAAGACATTTATTATTTCTATACATGTTTTGGCTGTCAAACTTCCACAATGCCCCTTTAACTAATCAGGACAGATGCTCGGGCATCATGGAACAGTCACACGCTGGTGGGGATGAGCTACCATGCGGCCACTGCTGAACACAGGCGACACCGGTCCCTCCGACCACCACCAGCAAGGTCTTGCCCAAGGACACAACAACAGCATTCTCTGGTGGGAGCTGGGAATGAAACCTGCGACCTTGTGATTACTGGACAACCTGCTCTACCTCCTGAGCTGCTGCTGCAATCCCTAATCAGTTCCCATTTTTGTGGTAGCCATGTTCAGGTGTGTGAAACAAGCCATCCAGACTAGGTGGCAAAAGCAGGTGGGGTGTTAAACAGTATTTGTGAGAAGACCAAACCTTTAATCTATTTATTGACTATGTTTACATGCCGCCAATATCCGGGTTATGATCGGGTTAAGGTCGGTATTCGGGTTTCTGAGTTGATCAGAATAACCCGTTTACAAGCATAAATAGAGTTACCCCTAACTTGCATAACCCGATTTAAATGCGGTCGTTGGGGTAGCGTCGGGACGTCTGGACTACGTCCAGACGCAATATGTATCATTTCCGGTTCTTCTTGTTCCGGTATCCGTGAAAACAACAACATGTTTCCCAGTTCGGAAGAGATAGCGACCGCGTTTGTTTGCGTTTTAGTTTCCTCGTCACTCCAAAAGTGTGGTGCTGTGCCGCGACTCGCCATGTTGCTCCCAACTTGTTTACTTCCGGTGTTCTGGTGCATACAAGACGTCTCGCTACATAAGAGACCAAGATTCCTTGCGAACAGAGCATGCACAGAACACACGCTTTGATGGGGATATCCCGGTATACGTTTACACGACCAAACATTCGGGTTAGAAAAGGGTTACCCCAGGTGTAGTAACCGGGTTTTTAAAAACCCAGTTATGAGCATATCCGGGTTTTTGGCGGTGTTTACATGGCTGTGCGGAACCGGGTTATTGTGAATATTCGGGTTTTAAAAGGGTTACTGGCTGCATGTAAACACACTCATTGTCGGTTCTATGGGTTTTGTTTTCCACAATTGAAGACACAACTCCCACTTCTAGTTTCAGACTTTATTTATATCATGAAAAAACTAAACAGAATCAGAAACTGAGTTCAGTTCATTTTGACAACACAACACAGTCTCACTAAAACATAAACTAAGACATCAAAGCTAAGAGTATATGAACACAAAATGTTTCCTCTCTAGTACTCATCCAGCCAGGACAAAGCCATGTATTTAACTAATTATTTGCTTTAACATCTAAAATGTATTTTTAATAGACACCAGGTTGCTCCTAATGGATGAAAAAGCAACGAAACTCCAGAGAAATCAAATAAAATACAACGGAGTTGTGTGACCTTCCTGACCTGGGCGGTGGCCAAACGTTTCTGTGCTTATGAGCTTGTCTTTGTTGTGAGACTCGGTTGTATTACAAGATCTGAAACTCCTCACTACAACAAAGGAAAAGTGATGCTAAAAGTCCCACCTTATGGAGACAATAAAACGTGTAGTTGTATACACCCTAAATAAAAACTAACCATTAAACGCCTGCACAGACCCATTACGGAGGTACAGAAGCACGGCGCTTTTATATGCGGGCAGTAACGATGTGAACGGCACTAACACAAGAACACTACAGCGCACACACCTGAAACTGCCCAGCTAAACTAGGATAAGTGTAGACTCACCTTTACACATGCACCAAATTAATTAAAGCTGATTGTAAACAGCTTTCTCAAACCAAAAGAGCAGAAATCGGTTCCAATTACACGGTGAAGGAAACCGTTATGTAGCTGAACCACTTGTTAGGACTGGAGCACAGGCTGGTCTTTTCAGAACTATACAAAATAACAAGACATGAAGCTAGCCACTACTGCACAGAACCCAGAATGCATCGTAACATGAAACAGCACACAGCTCGTTACACTGAGGCGTACTTGTGTAAGAGAAAGCGTTCACCGCTGCTGTCCAGCTACACATTTATCATACACAAACACTTCTGGGTTTAGAAAACATCAAGGAGACACACCGTAGATAGATAGTTTCAGTATCCAGTGGCACTTTGACCATCCTACCTGCTGAAGGTATGTCAACGCTTACTTAGCTAGAACAAAGAAGGTTTAGTAGGTTAACCGTGCCCGTTCAGCGCCGGAATCCCACGAATGGTCATAGGTAGCACTTCTTGGGTTCCCGGTCCCAGGAGAAAGGCGCGAATGTTCATATTTATATCCACCCGCTTCGCCGGCGACTCTCCGGATCGGACTTCGGTCACGAGAATAGTATGAGGTAACTGGGGCTGGTGGAGGAGGAACGGGAGGACACTGGTATGTGTTGGCACTAGAGGGAGGTAGCCGTTCCCTCATAGCTGTGGTGGGGGCTGTTGCTGGAGCAGGCAAAGCAGCACCATGGCGTTGCTCGAAATAACTGCCTCCATATGCATTTGGCCTGTACTTCTCGTAGTAGTCCACGACCCCGTACGAATCCCGTTCCTCATAAGGCGACCGCCGCATCGGGTAGGCTGGTACCGCGCCATAGATCGAGCCGTTGCTCCTGTATGCCGCCTCGCTGCCGTACATCCGAGCCATGCTATGATCAGCAACAGCATTCATGTTATAACCTGGGGGGGGGCCGTATCTCATTGCACTTTCATAGCCTGCATCTCCTCTGTAACCCGCCATGCCGTTGCTGTGACCAGAAACCCGGGGAAAACCATGACCGTAGCTGCCGTCATATTCCGGAGCGCCACTGAAGTCTGGAAAACCCCGGCTGCGACCGCGCTCGCCAAATCTCGAGGGATCGTATCCATCAGAGTTTGGCTCTGAACCATTTTTGTGGTAGCCATTTTGGTCTAATGGACATTCTTTGGACCAGTGGCCTTCCTGCCCGCAACGATAACAACCTGATCTGTCTCCCATTCCCGGCGCAGTACGCAGGCGGCTAGTCGAAAGCTTCACGCTCATCAGTTTTCCTTAAAAAGAGAACACTGAATAAGCACCTGCATTTGTTACAGAATAAATATGACATTTGTTGCATGACCTGTATTCTGCTGAAGTGTTGTTAAAAGGCAGCACTTAGACAAGTGTTAGTTTAAGCATTAAAAATGGAATTAAAGCTGAAATCCATAATGCTCCAACTTGTTACTGCAGAGAAATGTGTGATAGTTCTCACGCGCCACATTCAGGTCAGTTGTGATCGTTACTAGACGCAGGATGAATTACTTATTGGTGGAAACTATGGTGGCTGACAATCAGTGTTGGGAGTAACGCCGTTTAAGTATAACGGCGTTTCTAACGGCGTTCTTTTATAGGTAACGGAATAATCTAATTAATTACTTTTCCCGCTGTTGCAACGCCGTTACCGTTACTGGGGACGGAAGGTTGTGCGTTACTATGTGCTTGTCGAACGTTGAGCAGCAGTGTGAGGCTTTCTGACCGCCACACTTCAGCTGCAGCCAGGGAGAGAGAGGTGTCGGTAACGCACTTTCAAACACGATGATGATTGGCCGGGTGGGCGGAGACCCTCACTGTCTCAGTCGCTGCCTGCTGTAGTGTAGACACAGCAAGTGATGGTAATAACGCCGTTTAAAATAATCACGTTAATAAAAAAATATTTCTTTCTGTAACGAGCAAACTAATTAATTACCGTCTTCTTTTATCAAAACGATCGTTTCCGTTACTGATAAGGAAATGCGTGCGTTAAGCAGCGCGGTGTGTTGAAGCTGTCATCAGCTGATCAGGAGCTAAAGAGGCAGATGTTTTCATCCAAGAACATCACGGCCCGTGGAGAACGAGGAAGACATGATGAATAGTCTACGTCTGCAGACCCCCCGCAGATTCACTGCTGCAGGTGGGAATCTGCAGCAGCGAATCTGTGGGTCTGCAGCCGTGCCCTTCTTAGCGGGACGTCCCGAAGGTCCGCTCACCTGTTCACCGCTCAGACGTCCTGATCTTCTACCTTCCTAGATCATCCAGCTGTAACCTGTTCCTGATCATGTCTTTAGTCCCGCTGTAACACTGATGCATCAGTCTCAGACGGCATGGAGCTCAGGTGTTATCAGAACTTCCTGTGTGTGTTTACCACCCAGCTTCAGCTCTTCTGTGGTTGGGTCTGACCCAAGTTAGTACATTTAAGTCCTCCATCAGGCTTGTGCCTCTTCTAGTGTCATTTTAAAGGATTTTATTTATTTATTTAACCGTTACTAGATTACCAGCAACAGAAATGATACTAAAAACACACAATTATGTGAAGCTGGAAAAATTAGAATACTGTACAAAATTACATTTATTTCTGTAATTTAACTAGACCGAGATACCATTTAAAGGCGCGGGAATCTTTACATGTGTTTCTATTTGCAATTTTAAATGTTAGCTGATTGGGGTCTTGTTAAATATCACACAGTGACATTTTAATATCTAGATAAGTGCAATGTTCCTGTTAGTAGTTGCTCCTGTTAAGTGCTTATTTATTTAAATTATTCAGGTTTAAAAAAACATTTTGACATACATTTTATTATGTTCCAGTCATTAGTCATTAATATTTCACTATTGTAGTAATTCTTGCATTCTATAATGAAGTAACTAAGTAGTTATTTTTGTTGGTAATTAGTTACTTTTATGATCTTGCAACTCAGTTAGTAACTGAGTTACTTTTTGACAAAGTAATCAGTAACTATAACCAATTACTTTTTTAAAGTAACGTTCCCAACACTGCTGACAATGTCATTCATTAGATCCATTTAGAAACGGGCTGAAACTGAAATAACCAGTAAGGGTCAAGCGCTTTCTCCTGGTGTTCTGAAACATTACGGATCACAGCTTTAAAATCGTGCAGGCTTACCTTTCACTCACCTGTGATATACGACTATGACTTACCTGAAATTTAGTAAAAACTGAACATTCATGAACAGTTCTAGTGTGAACTTCCCCTTACACCCCCAAAAGTTCACCTTTAAATGCTGTGTTATCCATCTTACTGATGGCCTCCATGGCATCCTCCATCCGCTCCATGTGAACAAAGGCATAGTTTTTTACAATGTCGCACTCCAGAACGGCGCCAAACTCTTCAAACTTGGCCCTCAGCTCCTGATTGGTGCATGCGATGTTGCCAACATGGAGTTTGGTGGACCCTCTTGACTTGCCGCGACTCAACTCTACATTGAGGGGCTGCCCATTCAACTCGTACTGGTGGAGGTTGCGTATAGCTTCTTCTGCCTCCGACTTGCTATCCATGTGCACAAAGCCAAAATTTTTCACAATAGAACATTCTGAAATCTTGCCGTACTGTGAGAAGAGAGAGCGAAGCTCATCTGAGGTCGTCTCTGCCGACAAGTTCCCGATGAATATTTTCACCATCGTGAAGCTGTTGTGGCTAAGAGGGAGAAAAAAAATCTAATTAAAATTATTACTAAAACATTTTCCTTCAGAAGCCTCGGACATGCAGTTTTCCTGCGTTAGCATCAAAATGTTCTAAGTAGGGCTGGGGGTAAACGATTATTTTTAAAACGATTATTCTGACGATTATTTTATCGAATAGTCGACTATTCTAATGACTATTTAGAAAATTAATCTAATGATTATTTTTCTATTGCACAATTAACAAAAACCAGAAAATCTCAAATAAATTCCTCAAAAAAATTGATAAATTGTTACTGTAAGAGAATAAACACTACAGGCCTTCCATTTTGTATAACACTGCGTTTATTGTGTTGCGGTTGGTTATGTTCTGGTGACGTGTAGAACTTGGGAGTGCAGGCTGCTGCCTGAGAGGTGGTAGAAGATGGAGTGTCTCCATGCTGCTTTGTTTTGGTCACTTATGTGCGTGAGGCGAGTGGTGTTACGGGTTAAACCAAACTCAGGTGATATTTTACACTAAACCGAAAACCCACAACACTCTAAATGTAATAAAAGGGAGATCTACACCACAAAAAAGATGAACTCTAAACCAAAACGTAACAGCTTATCCCAACGCAAGAAGCTGTTAGCGAAGATGCTAACAGTAGCTTTACCAACGTTAAGTTGAAGTTACCAAGTTTAAATAAACCAAAAACACCCAGCAGCAAACAGACCAGCACGGAGGAGAGACTGCTACCACCAAAACAGCTCTCCTCATGTCTGAAAGAAGCTCCTTAATGAAGGGAGAAACGCTCCCGGTGATTTTCTACATCTGCGATAGACACGAAGCAGCGCATCTGACCCCGGAAGTTGTTGTCCGTTGCCGGGAGACGAAGGGGCAAAACAGGAAAATAATCTAGTAGAGGACGGACGTTGTTCCGGGTCTTCGGTATTTGGCGGAGATGTTAGTGAAGGCGGAGAAGAGGGCGAACTAGAGGAAAAACGGGCAGATTCCTCCTCTATTTACAAACTCCTGGGGATGCAACAAGTGGGCGCGGTGCGTCGACTTCCGGATCTGACGTCGACAAATTTTTAGAATCGAGCCGTCGACTTCGTCGAGGCTTCGCTACAGCCCTAGTTCTAAGCAAAAACACACACACACACACAGAGGTATCCTTGCGTGGACCCATCAATCATCATCAATCATAGCTTTATTTATAAAGCGCCTTCCACAAACCTGTCAGGAAGCCCAAGGCGCCCTCCTATCATTTTAGTGACTTTACTGACCCAAACCAAAGCTGTTCTAATTCTAAACGTAGCCTAAACTAAACTTTAATTTGTCTGGCCTCTGTCAGTGCGCCCCAGGGCAGCTGTGGCTACATTGTAGCTCATCACCATCAGTGTGTGAATGGATGAATGATACACTGTAGTGTAAAGCGCTTTGGAGTCCTTACTCTGAGAGGCGCTATACAAGTGCGGGTCGTTTATCATTTAATTCACACTAAACACTAAACCTCTAAAATTAAGTATGAGTATTTATTTTACTGTGTGGACCAACCACTGTGGAAATGGTCAAGCCTGGTTCATGCTTCTCCGTCAGCTCCGCAAGGGACGGACACGCACTGATTGACGGAAGCGTTTTGCTCTCATACTTCTCCGTCTACTGGAGAGTGTTGCAAAGCAATGGCCCGGCAGGACAACAGAGGGCGTAGCGCTGTTCTGTGGTATCCTGTCATGTATCGGTCCTAGACAGTGTGTTTATATTGTGTTTTTTTGTATATAAGAGACTTTTTAACACGGACATATTCGTCTCTCATCCTCCTCCACCTCTTCATGCGCTCACCACCTCTAAACCCACGTTTCCTGTCATTTCCGTCCACAAATAAAACGCTTGCTGCGCATCTTTTCACTCCTCCAGTCACGGGAGGATGAAACGTTCATATTTTTAGAGTTTTTTCGCGACGTATTCTTCAAGCTTCTCCGTGTCTGCCGCTAGTTATCCTCGGCTCTCTTTGCAATGGAGGCGCTGTAAACAACAGCGGCGTCCTGACCAATCACAAGCTTGCGTAATCCGTCTCGTTCGACGGATGTTTAAAAAAGTGGGCTCGACTCCGTATGTACTTGCATGCCCTACGCAAGGACGGATAATGGCGTTGCGTGTCTCCGCACTGACGCAGACGGAGAAGCATAAATCAGGCTTAAGAAGCTAAAATCTGTCCACTTAAAGGTGCATTGTGTAGAAAGTAAGTAAAAAATGGCATCCTGTGGTAAAATGTGGTTACTGCAAATACCTTCTACAACTCTGGAGCTTTTGCCGGCTGTTGTCCAATTATAATTGTCGGCGCTGCAGTATTAGCTCGCAGGACACACGGAAATGCACACTAGGCCTGGGCAATAAATCGAAAATTTATCGTAATCGAAATTTGATTCTTAATGAGATTATTTTTCCCATGTCAATAAATTTGATAAAAAAAAATGAAAAGATGTGTGTAGGTTGGTAACATTCATGTCTCTTTAAGAAGCTGTACCACCTTGAGTCACGTAATACATGTGACAGCCCCATCTAGTGGACAACTTTTGTCTCTGCACATACCTGTAGTTATTAAGCTTGGTTTATGCTTGACACATTCACTTTCCGCTTGGTGATGCGGCTCGCGGATGGAACGCACTTCACAGGTCGCAGTGTTTATGGTTCATGCGGCTTGTCTCTGCTGTGAGCAAATATTCTTCCAAACTGTAGGGGGCAGCATGGAGCTCTACGGCATGCATCCAACACTACACCATAGTAGAAGTAGAAATTACTGTTGTTAACAACATGGCATTCCAGCATTTTTTAACAGCGCCCTCGTCTTTTCCGACAGTGCGAGCTATTTCTCTCCAAGAATTATTAACAACATGTTGATCACGGTGATCTCTGAGAGCTGAATCATACAAATGTCTGTATTTACGAACCTCTGCCACACTAGTTCTTGCCGGTCCGCCATGTTTTTCCACGTCCGACCGTCTGCGTGGTTAGAAAATTTCCTAGGTGCGCGGCGCGGAAATTTTGGGCCGTGCGGAGACGCAGTGGAGGGGCGTGGTTGTTAAAATGACGCAATTTCGCCACGCGGACGTGTCAAGCATAAACCAACCTTAAACCAACATTTTTACACACACACACACGGACTATATTATGAATACACCATCTTATACTTTCAAAATTCGGCCACCGAAGATTTTTGGCCCAAAATGACCAAAAATGGTATTTCGGTTTTCAGCAGTAAGACTTTTATTAAACCAAAAACCAAAACATCATGTGATAAATAATATGATGTCAACCAGGAAGTGAGTCATGAGAGCAAACTTTGAACAAAAAGTGCTTCTCAATGCCAAGGAACCTTGCCTTGATGTCTTGGCCCCACCCCGGTTGCCTAGGAGACACGTCATCAGGAACCGCCAAGACGTGTTCCAATGTTCATGTTGTACCGAGGCGTGTGTTCACCGTTTGTTGGCAATTTAGCTAGCTGAGCAAGGATACACGGGAGATGTCTTGTAGCCTGGCTTGGTCGATGACGTCGTCGACGCGATTCTAAAAATTCGTCGACGTCAGATCTGGTAGTCGATGCACCACGCCCACTTGTTGCATCCCCAGGAGTTTGTAAATAGAGGAGGAATCTGCCTGGTTTTTCCTCTAGTTCGCCCTCTTCTCCGCCTTCACTAACATCTCCACCAAATACCGAAGACCCGGAACAACGTCCGTCCACTACTAGATTCCTTTCCTGTTTTGCCTGCCTTCGTCTCCCGGCAACGGACAACAACTTCCGGGGTCAGATGCACTGCTTTGTCTCTACCGCAGATGTAGAAAATCACCGGGAGTGTTTCTCCCTTCATAAAGGAGCTTCTTTCAGACATTAGGAGAGCTGTTTTGGTGCTAGCAATCTCTCCTCCATGCTGGTCTGTTTCCTGGGTGTTTTTGGTTTATTTAAACTTGGTAACTTGAACTTAGTGCTTTTCGGTGCACCGCTGCTGATACAGCGCCCCCGTAGTGGTGCAATGCTGCAACTGCAGTTAAAATAACATCAATATAGCTGGGGGCAGAGTGAAATCAGGCTGGGGTGGCACAAAATTAGCTGGAGGCGGTCGCCACGCAAATTTGAACGCAGGAAAAACCCTGGTAAAATTCTCACTTTATTTTTACATACTGCACCTTTAAGCATATAGTATGTTTACACACACACGGACTAAATTATGAATACACCATCTTATACTTTCAAAGCCTACAATATAAAATTGATTTGACTTTGCAAACTTATTGATGGTTTAGTTTATCCACAGCATACTTAGCACATCGGTAACTTAGCAGCTACGTATGTGTTAGCTACCGACAATAGCATTAATATTATCGTTATTTTCCTTCTAGATTGATCAGAATACCGATAGAAAGCCGGATAATCATCATATTTCATTACATGCGGTAAGCATAAAGTCTTCAACTCCTGTTATTGGCGCTTTGGCCTACACCACACGGGCTGCACACCTTTAGCATGGACGCTAGCATGAACGTACGTAAACGTTCACCGATCAAATGCAGTGTTTTAGTCACCGACAAGCCCGAAGAAGCGTTGCGTTTCAGTAACCTTGATAAATTAATCCAACTGCATCACGCATATATCGACATTCTTACCTGTAGTCTGAAAAGTGCGTGCTGGCTCTCGGAAAATGAAATGGCGGCTGCAGCTTCCGGCGGAAACCAACTACCAGGCTAGAACGTGACCAGTGTTATGTCAAAATGTGCTACCCCCGTTAAAAGGGTTCGCTCGGCTCCGTTTTCTCTCTAGAAGCAGACGGTCCTAAAATAACTATAAAAGCGAGTAAAACACTTTGATGCGTGTATCTTTAAAGATCGCGTTCATTAGGAAACTTTTACATAACGCTCTGTTCACGTTGCAAAAATGTACCTTACGGTTTACACTTTAACATATGTAGCATTAAACTGTATTTACCATCAGCTCAATCGACTAACACGGCTTGATATTTAGAGGTTTTATATGGGGTAACACATTTCGACTAAACACTTTAAACGCAGAAAAGACGCTTGCTAACTTTGATACTAATTAAAACCACCTTTATCCCAAAGCAAACTCATGTCAAATTGAAAACTACGAGAAGGAAATCGACCAAACTATATAAAGAAATCCAGTTTTACGGAGACCACAAATGGAGTTTCTGCAAGTCTCCAGGTTTAAAGCCAGCCTGGAAGAGGGGATTTTCAATCAAACAACAAGCAAATGTCACCAAAATAAATGGCTTTATTAATTTAAAAAAAAAAATCAGAATTTGAGTGTGTGCCGTTAGGTTCACAGCTAGTATGAAAAATACAAACTTCAAATTTATGCATAAGGCACCTTCAATGCAAAACTGGACCTCCTGATTTCAACTGTCCAACAGTCACGCCTCATATTTACCTGGTTCTGTGGTGTCGCGTCCATAAAAGATCCAGATTTCTACCTAGCGTGATGGGTTACCTTTCATCAGCAACTTATAAAATGGAAAGAATACAGCTGCTCCTACATTTGCACTGCTGGAAATGTCAAATTTTTATCTCCCCTCATCTGGCAAACACTTTCATTAATGTTAAGTGGATGTACAGAAATCCTCGGCCCTATGCTGGAATGTTTGTTTAGCTTAGGTTTGGAATCCTGACTATGCAGTTTTGTAGTTTATTTTCTGTTGTTCTTTGTGTGAAACCTGGTATGAATTATGCTACAGAGAGAACGGTGAAGAGGTTCCTTCCAAACATCTGCCCATGCCGACGTCTAACCAGAAGAAAACTCTCTGATGTAATAGTCACCGATGGTCATTGAACATTCTTCACACATTGTTCTCTTTATACACATTTATGATACTAAGTCAGATCAGGTCACCGGTAGAGAAACAAAATAAGACTCTTGCGTTACAAGCAACTCATACATCTATGAGTAAACCCCAAACACCTAAAACAATGTACATGAACACTTGAGACAAAAACTAGAGCAAAATATCGTTTGCTGCACATAATGAAAAAAAAAACAGAAGGAAAAAACTGCTGAAAACCTGCAGATCAAGTGAGCCAATTGATTTTCTATACAGTTCAATAATTGTTATTTTTGAAAGAAATATTTGTGTACTTGAATAAAAAAACGACTCAGAAGCAGCCAGCTGGCATCACAAGAACCTGGAAGTCATCTTTAAACCCTAAGCTGGACATCTGCATCTCGTATTCTTAGCTGCACATCACACACACCAATGAATATGTGTAGCTTGTAGATATAGTGGGAAGGTCCATCAGTCCTCAGACCTGTAGAGAGAACAAAGCAACCAAAAACCGATTATGCCAAATGCATGAAAAATAATTCAAGACGATTATTCATCAACAACTTTATTGCAATCAAACTTTTGAACTCACAGCCACTTAATCCAACTAGGATTAATGTCCCATTGCCTCAACATGTCAACTAATAGTCCAACCGGATTGTTAGTTTCTCACCTTGGCACCATGAGCTCAGTATGGGGCATAGCGCTGAGCATAAGGATCCTTGGGCCGTAAAACTGGGTAGGCGCTCCTGGAGCCGGACACTGGAGACAGACGCGCTGTCTCGTAGGAGTAGCCCGATGAGACGGGAGCTCGTGGGATGGGGCTGTACTCTGGTGCGTAGTATGATGCGGCAGATGGAGGTGGAGCCAGCGGCCGACGTTCGTAGGGGTCTGTACTGGACGAGAGCTTAGCCAGGGAGGAAGCAGGTGGTGGTGGGGGAGGAGGGATGTAGGGCACGTGACGCTCTTCAAAATAGCTTGAGCCATACGGACGAGCTCTGTACTTTTCATAATAGTCGACGCTGCTGTAGGGGCTGTCGTAAGCTGAGGGCCTATCTGTGTATGAGCCTGCAGTTCTGCTGGCGTAGCGATCCCCCAGCTCCGCGCTGTAGCCAACATGCCTGCGAGGGGGAGGGGGAGGTGGAGGAGGCATTCCACCAGCGTAACTAGCCCGACTATACCCAGAGCTGCTCATGTAGTCAGATGCTGGAGGTGAGAACATGCCACGTGGGGGATACCAGTTGCTGCGACCTCTGGCGCCGTCCATGTGGCCACCGGTCCGATCAAGTGGACAGTCTTTCGACCAATGACCGTGTTTGCCACAGACGTAGCAGCCTTTGTGATCTCCCATTCCCGGGGCAGTGCGAAGGCGACTGGTGGACAGCTGTACGATGATCAGTTTGCCTTGTAGATGGAGAAGACAGATGTGAGACAGCAGCTCAACACATGAAGGGTCTCACCGATTGCAACATGACAGAGAAAATAATGGGCCAGCTACACATTTTCCCACTGCCCTTCCACTGGTTCAACAAAAGACATTAGCAAACGTTTTTCTGGAGACTTTCAGTCCTCTTAGGAAAAATAAAAGCAGAGGTTAGCCCTTGTTTGAGTGAAAAACTGCCTGTTACAGGACTACACAAATCAAAAATATTCTTAATCAGCTTCCCTTGGCCATGAGTTTACCTTTGAAAGCTCTGTTGTCAAGCTTATCGATGGCGGCCATGGCGTCCTCCATTCTCTCCATGTGAACAAAGGCATAGTTTTTGACAATATCACACTCCACTACTGGGCCAAACTCCTCAAACTTGGCCCGTAGCTCATCATTTGTGACGCCCTCTCCGAGGTTGCTGATGTGTAGTTTAGTGGTGGACTTGGGCCTGCCTTTGCTCAGCTCCACATTCATGCTCCAGCCATTCAGCTCAGTCTGGTGAAGGTTTTTAATGGCCTCCTCTGCCTCAGACATGCTGCTCATGTGTACAAAACCATAGTTTTTAACTATGTCACACTCTGTGACTTTGCCATACTTCTCGAAAAGCTTTCGCACTTCTTCTACGGTGGTTTCACAGGCAAGATTACCAATAAAAATTTTCACCATGATGATGTTTTTCCTACAAAAGAAAAAACAAGCATCAATTAACACTTAAGAACAATGGGAATGGCATGAAAAGAAAGCCAGATCAATTAACATGTTATATTTATCTAGATAGACACATTGTTTTAAACAAAACTGGGAAATTTTAGGTGTGCATTCATCCATATCATCTGTCTGTGTGTGTGTGTGTGTGTGTGTGTGTGTGTGTGTGTGTGTGTGTGTGTGTGTGTGTGTGTTTGTGTGTGTGTGAAGGGTCAGAGCCACAGAACATATACAATCTGATTCGCTCATTGGGGGCTTATTGAGTTGTTGCAGGTAGGTTTAATCCAGCTTTCTGGATTTGACCACCCAGGGCTTCCGTCTGATCGCAAAACAGCGACAGAAATGGTGAAATCAACATGTTGTATTTACTTTGTGTCCAAGTCACGGAGAGCAGGATGGCTTGGGAGCATCAAGCTCGTGCCTGCGCCACGCGCACTGCTGCCGCATAGAGTGCTAACAACTTAGGCAATTACTAATACTGAAATATCAGAACTCTTAATCTATTGCAGTCGTTGTTAATATCCAGATCATAGCTGCGTAATATCAATAGATTTTATTTCTAAAAACACTGACCTGTTCTACGTTACGTCGCGAGGTTAGCTCCTTGGCTAACGCTAGGTACTAGCTTGTTAATGCAGAATGACGAAGTTAATGCTAAAACCAATACCATGGTACACAAAACAACGTCAGTACAACGCAGAATGTCTTTGTTTTCCTTCATGTTCACACATTCCACTTCTGTGTAGTGTAATGTGTTTATATTTTAACAAAGGAGTGTACTTTCAGGAAGCTAACGCGGCAGCTACCCCGATACTCCCACTGGCCCGGGTCCTTCCTTCGGCCCCGTTCCTGTCGTAGACCGTCCACGCCAGCCCTACATCAATACTAATAATTTATAGTTTCGCTGTAGTTATGTTCAACCCTCAACTTAAAGCTGTTACGGTTATTTTTTACCTGAACAGCGACGAAGGCCTTGGATGCTTATGAATGAAGGAAATGGCGCCACAGCCCCTGGACCCTGGTCTTCTTCGTGAAGCACGAATGTTCTCCTTTAGCTCTTTGTGGTTTTACTGCCACCTTCTGTTCGGTGGGGCGAAGCACACTTTGTAGAGCTTAACGCTCAAATCTTCTCATGTTTCTGTCGCTTTCAGAAATTGATTGACCCAAAATGCTTAAAGGTGACAAGAAACTCCCTTCAGATTCTACTAAAGGGTCCTCTAGACAACAACAGGAGTAAACATTCCATGATGCTACTAAAGAATTTTGGCGATGCAGGTCAAAGTATACAGATCACTGCTTATCCAACATATCCGCTTCTGTCGCTTTCGGAAATTAATAGAAACATTTATTCTGCTTATAGTGAAGATTATTTATTTTTGGTGATTTTTCACTTTCTAAATTACCAATAAAATTATCAGATTTTAATAAACAGGTTCTCCAGTACTGGAAACTGATATATAGGCACACGTTTCCCCTCACACAACCTGCATTTGGAGCAACAGGTGCATCTTAATAAATAGAAATCTATTTTCTATCAGGATTGGGTGAATCGTGGAATTGTGGCAGTTTTACACCTATTAGACAGTGACAAAGTCCATCGTACATTGAGTTAACTGATATGATGCAGTATGTTCTAGACAGAAGTTGATCAAAGTTATAAAACCCATCCCCTCATCAACGATGCAGATGAACAAACTTATTCCTCCTGAATAATTAGAGAGCCATCTTTAAACAGAGAATAAAACTGGAGAGTTTGTGATTAACAATTTGATCTTTAGCAAAATATTTTTTTCACAACTGTCATTTTTTTTAAAAACTACAGTTCTTGCTGCATTTAAAAATGAAATACTTCATTTGAGCGATTCATTAAAACATTGCAAATTAAACAAAGCACATGCCCTATTTGGTTTGTTTGAAACAGATTTTTGAATTATGTAAAATATTTGTATATGCGTACAAATATTTAGAACTGTGTCTTTTTTTATTGACTATTGCTTAATTCTTATCTTTATATATTTACACTTGATGTTGTGTCATGCTGTGTTATTAGAATTTCTATATTAAAAACTTCTATCCTCCATCTTGGATTGCTGTGAACAGCGGGCGCCACTAGACACCTGAATCTGCAGTTGGTCTGCATCTGAGGTTGGTCTGAATGTGAGGGTGGCCTGAATGTTGGTCTGCACCTGCAGTTGGTCTGAATCTGCAGTCACACTTGCAATGGATTATTGTAAGAGCAACATTCATTTAAGCTTCATTGATTTAAGCACAGATTATTCAAACATTTCATTTAAACATCTTGTTCATTCAACCATATGATTAATTAACTTATAAGTTGTAAAGCCTTGTAGGATTCGTGTTGATTCTGTCATGAATTGAACTCGGAAGACCCGGGATGACGCCAAACACGGTGAGTAAAATAAAAAGTCTTTATTAGGAGTGGAGTTACCAGAGGTCTGAGGTGGGAATAGTTCGACAGGGTAATCCCAAAAGGCGAAGTCGGGGACGGAGCAGGGTTCTGGATCTTCGATGGCAAGGTGAGTAATGGCTGGAGAATTTACTGGCAAGAAGCGTTCAATAATCTGGCGGGGAACTGGTGGCTGGCTGGTGAATATTTAGCAGAGGGAGCAGGTGTGGTGAATGAGGCTGATGACATGGTGAGATGAATGGAGTAGATGAGGTGCAGGCTGAGGTTGCTAGGGAAACAGGGCTTGGCTGGAGCTTGATGAGGGGACCAGGTGTGCTGCATGAAGGCTGAAAGATTGGGAGTCAGGACAGATTCACTTTTATTCAGAGTGAGGAATCCAGCAGTCTGGGCAGAGAGAAGGGCTTTTGCGGGAGACCTTGACAGTTTATTTATGTCTGTGTTGAAGAAGAATAAGTGAGCAAAAGGTTGATCTGTGCGTCTGAATCCTCCAGCTGGTGTAACCTTGGCTTTGCATCTCTGGCGTGTATGAAAGGTTACTGTGTCTGTAGGAGCCAATATTGTTTTAGTTTAGATTATATTATGGTCTAAGTTTATTTTGATAAAGTTTTATGTACATTTCAGTTTATTGCACTATGGTTTGTATTTCCTTTAACCACTGGTGGCACTGCGGAGCCTACAAAGGTGTTGAGGTGGCAGTGCACTGGCGTTTTTTGGGTGACGGGAGGTCACACGGTTGTTACCGCTTCGTTTGGTTTCATATGCCACATCTAATTTGCCGTTATAATTTTCATCATTTACATAAACCTTGACAAGAAATAGCCATTCTGGACCCTGCATAACTGTGATTGTCAACATATTCAATAAATGGGACAAAAAACCCAAACCCGCTTTCTGCCTGGACAATATTGTTGAAGCGAGTCATTGCCTCCACCCGCACCCAAGGGTGACTAAAAGTGGGACTTGATAGTCACTACAGTGTCAATTCGATGGTGAAAATTTACCTTTTTGATTCATTACATTGGTCTGAATCTGCAGTTGGTCTGAATCTGAGGTTAGTCTGAATATGCAGTTGGTCTGAATCTGAGGTTAGTCTGAATCTGCAGTTGGTCTGAATCTGAGGTTGGTCTGAATCTGCAGTTGGTCTGAATCTGAGGTTGGTCTGAATCTGCAGTTGGTCTGAATTTGAGGTTGGTCTGAATGTGAGGTCAGTATGAATCTGCAGTTGGTCTGAATCTGCAGTTGGTCTGAATCTGAGGTTGGTCTGAATCTGCAGTTGGTCTGAATCTGAGGTTGGTCTGAATCTGCAGTTGGTCTGAATGTGAGGTCAGTATGAATCTGCAGTTGGTCTGAATCTGCAGTAGATCCGAATCTGCAGTAGATCCGAATATGCAGTTGGTCTGAATCTGCAGTTGGTCTGAATCTGAGGTCGGTCTGAGGCCTAGTCCACACATAGCCGGGTTTTTTTTAAACGAATATCCGCCCCTCCAAAAACTTGCATCCACACCACCTCATTTTTAAAAAAAAACTCTGTCCACACGTACCCGGATAAATACGTTGTTAAGGACATGCCAGACCTGTAGGCGGCAGTACTTCCCCCGTTCTTAACCTCGTCCTTCGTCTGTGGTCTTCCGCAAGGAGCAGTAATTCTGCTTGCAAAAACAAACAAGCAAAAAGCGCTTGGACAATTGATAAAGCGAGCGCAGCTCTGAGGGCATCCATGATGCCGGCTAGTGTAAACACAGGTCGCACACGTGATGTCAGCATTTTTTTGTCGCGGAAAGTGACGTTGCGGACCTTAAAACTCCGGTTTTGTCTGTCCACACGCAGACACCCAAAACGGAGAAAACGCAGATCTTCACTTTGGCCGGAATTTTTAAAAAGATCCGTTTTCGTGTGAAAAAACTCAGTTTTCATGTGGACGACAGGCCAAAACGTAGAAAAATATCTACGTTTTGGCAGATCCCCGGCTACGTGTGTCTGAGGTTGGTCTGAATCTGCAGTTTCCAGCTCTGCAGGCTGCAGCCATACCCTCATTGTAGACGCTCACACCTGGGACACTTCCTATCTACATCCATCTCATTTTATGTTCTGTAATTTGTTCGTATAATGTCGGTTCATCATGGAAACACTTTTGTTCACACTGTGGACCTGGACTATTCTATTCCTCAGGATTAGACGTGATGACGAGTGCATGCAGGTTGGAGAAAGAGTTTCAGCAGGAATGAAAGGAAAGGTGTACAAGACAGTCATGGGAGCAGGAATGATGTATGGTTTAGAGACAGTGTCCATGAGGAAAACACAGGAGGCACAAGATGTTTAGGATGACGAGGATGGATGGGATCAGGAACGAGTCCACCACAGGGCCAGCTCATGTTAGATGTTTTGGAGATAAAGTCAGAGAGGTCAGGACCTTGTCCAAGGGTCTGTCTGGAACAGACTGAGCGGGGTGCGAACCTGCAACCCTCTGGTTTCTAACAGATTAGAGAAAGGTCCTGAATGTAGTCATCAAGCTGCTTTTTCAAATGCAAAAATACACTCTCACTTTTAATTACATCTTTATTTTACAAAACGGTCCAACTTACAATAGAATTTTATATAGTTATTCACACAAAACACACCAAAACACAAATGTCCTGAAAACAAATGCCTCCGTGTCTCCCAGGGAGAGCTAAGTGTTAAGAGGATCCCTCCCATAAATATCATAAATATCACACGGACAACTAGAATGTAGTGGGATCAAAAATTTCCTCTGAGAAAAGCAAATGTTCCCTTTTCCACTTGTAAGTTTGTGCATGATGACGCAACATGCCATCCGTCCCCACACATGAAACTGTACGTTTTAGTTCACCCCTTAATTATAATTCAGACGGTAAGCCGGGCGCTGCCTACCAGGTGTGTTTTCACACCAGCTACTTTTTATTATACAGTCTGGAGCATACAGGTGTGTGTTAGATGAACAATATGTTAGATTTTTACTATGAAATGATCACAAAACAGTTTAATGTCTCAATCGTCTTGGAAGGAAGGGCTGAGACGGTTTTCTTTCAGTCTTCTTAAGAAACTCCAACGAGGACACATCCAGTATCAAAACTTTAGTTTTCCTTTGTTTTCCTCACACCTAATAAACCTTGGCTCACCTGAGACCTCCAGCCTTCCAGTAGTTTCCTTCTCAGTGTCCATCGGTTGTGCAGCGCCCATCTGTGAGCGGATGATGTGCAGAGGGCTCCAGCCTTTATCCTGTAGTTGAAACTCGCCCAACGGTGGTGAGAAAGAAAGCAGACTGCAGTTCCCCATCTGACCACACAATGTCACTCTTACACAGAGCACCTTTTAACACAAGGCAAGACCTCAGCAGTGGCCTCTGAAAACCACCAGTTACAGACAATCTGGGCAGGGTCAAAGGTCATTTACAGACTATGTAGAGTCCATTATTCTACAGAAATAAAGAAATACAAACAAAATACATTTCGGACAGCTCAGCAGGTTCACTCAGAAGTCAGAGGTCAACGCTTAAAGAAAAGACCACGTCAGATTCTACAGGCCTCAGCTAGCAGGTTAAAGGTTAACAGAAATGTTCAGACAGAAGAGCCTCTGTTTAGAGAAATAGAGTTCATGTACTTCAGGAGTGATATGCTAACTACTAGTCGTAGTACAACTAAGACCAAAGTGTGTATGTAGACATTTACATACAGACTTCTTAAAACATCGGATCTCCAAAATCATTTTAGGGCAGTAACAACACACTTTCTCATTGTCTGCCCTCAAACTAGCAGTTAGCTTATCGGTCCTGAAGCACAAATAATTTCTCTGAACAGAGGCTGTTCAGGGAGCTATTCGTGATGGTTGAGATTGTAATTATTTTAGGGCCGGGACTTTAACGCGTTAATTACGATTAATTAATTAGAAAAAAATAAGGCGTAAAAAATTAACGCATTTAATCGCAGCTTGCATTTCAAGCATGGCGGAACCTTTGTCATGCATGATTTCCTCGTAGACTGAATATCACTGACGCACACAACAATGCACAGTGCTAATGGCTACTAAAACGAAATAAAAACAGAAAGAAGTTGCCTTGCTTGGACTGATGCAGGATTTAGGAAACACGTTCGCCTCTTTTCTTAACTTGGAAAAAAACGAACTTCCAGACAACAACGGAGTCCGTGTCGCGGACATTTTTCAGAGATCGTCTCTGCTGCGGCTGCCCGGTGGCAACGGGAACTTTACAAAAGTTGCGGTAAGCTATATTTTTAACATTTACGTAACATCTGTGCAGCGCTGAAAGCACCAGACAGAATAATTCTGTGCCCTAACAGTAAATGGTAAATGGCCTGTATTTATATATAACAGTAGTTTATGAAAGTAGTCAGACAAACGAGAGGCACCTGGCTGCCGCTGGGAGAACGCTCCGTGTTCTCACTACTCTGTAAACAATCACAAACAACGCGTCTTACAGTTGAAAACAGAAGTTTAAGTTAAAACAGAAACACTCTGAAACTTTTCTGATGATTTTCTAAACAATTCTGTCGGGAAATTGTATGTTTCTAAGACGAGTCTCTCTAAACATCACATGCATTACTATCATTAAGCAGCGAGGTGTCATCAGCTAAGGGGCGGATGCTTAAGTGCATCAGGGGCAGCGAGGAACGAGGAAGTTGTGATCAGGCTGGAGATCACACCAGATTCGCTGCTGCAGGCGTGAATCTGCGGGTCTGCAGCATCCCCTTCTTAACGTGACATCAGGACTTCCCATGTAAGGAAGGTCCGCTCACCTGTTCGTCACATCATTATTTCCTCGCCATGATCTTTTATCATCCCATCAACCTCCAGTCACCCAACTGGAACCAGTTAGTGTTCCTGATCATTCTCAGAATATGCCATGCCTGCTCTGGTGTTAAAAGTTAGTACATTTAAGTCCTAGATCATATTTGTGCCTGTTCTACTGTCATTTTGAAGGATTATTATTTATGTGTTTTTACTACATTATGAGTAGAAATGCTAATAAAAACTCCCAATTATACAAACAAGTGAAACTGGAAAAATTAGAATCTGGTGCAAAGTCAAATTTATTTCAGTCATTCATCTAGACAGAGAGACTATTTAAAGGCTTTGCAGGTGTTTTCTATTTGTAATTATAAATTTTTGTTGATTTGGGTTTTGTTTCATATCACACAGTGACATTTGAATCATTAAAATGCATTTTCTTATTAAAAGCTTTAGTTTACAGTAATAACCATGTCTAATGTTTGATTCTCTGTCTCATAAGTTTAATTAAAAGTTTTACTCTGAGAGCACATTTTCCTGAACGATTAAAATGCGATTAATTTAGATTAATTAATTACAAAGCCTGTAATTAATTAGATTAAAATTTTTAATCAAGTCCCAGCCCTAAATTATTTATAACTTTTACACTCAAGAATGGCTGAAACATCCCTTTAAAACCAATGGAATGACAATTAGAAAAGAGGGCTTTTTAAGACGTGGTAAAAATAGATCATATTTAGGGTTTCCTGTTGTTATGAAACACTTTATACCCAGATCTGTTATTCAAAAGGTTTGGAGATGTTTGAGGATGAGGAGTAACCTGCTGATGTGGTTAGGGTTAGGAGCTGTAGTTGTCATTTGGACCAGCTCATCTCAAACGCCACGTTTGTTTCTGATCCACATGGATGTTACACCAGAACAAATCCGTCTGTGGCGCGTGGACACCAAGCCGACTAGTCTGTGTCGTCATATCAGGCTGCATTTGCGAGGAGGAGCAGATGGATTTGGGGCGGAGCTATGGTGGCGAGCCTCTGATCTGCATCACTCTGGTGTTGTGAAGATTTGTTGTTCTCATCAGCTCAGCGGTCCCTTCCGACTGAGGTTCGTGTCCACGTGTAGCCGATGCAAAGCTGGGAACCGTCCACTCATCCGCGTGTGTGTGTGGAGTTGCTGCATCCTTGTCTCCGCATGCTTTACACTTGATGCTGCTGTGCTGTGACCGAGGCTCGCAAAATCAACAACGCACCCAACCAGTCCAGAAGTACAGCCCAAGTTCTGGAGGAATGCGTCGTTTCAGCTGCCAGTTGAAGTCTACTCCATCCACAGAGGGACGGGGCTGTGAGCCTCCTGACTGGCTCCACTGTGACCTTTAACGAGTCCCTCAGTAGCTGCTCTCATGACCAGTCAGGATGTACAGGTTGCTCAGAGCTGAGGGGTCGTCAGTCGGCGTACTCTGAAGGATGATGTCTCTGTTCAGACAAAAACAGGAAGCTCAAGATAATGTTTCACACAGACTCGAGGTTCACGCCGACCATTCTGCAGGAACGTGGGTGGGTTCAGCAGAGCTGGGTGCCAGACCCATGTGTCTTCACAGCAGCTTATTGTACATCAGAACTATTCAGCCCTGGTGATCATGTGACTTCCTGCCTGCAGCAGCAGTCCTTTTACAGCTAAATTCATCAATGAACAGTTCTCTGCTGAAAACCAGAGCATTTCCATCTCCTTTACTCCAGACAGTCATTGTTGTTGTTAACGTTATCTCTAGTTCACATACCTGTTGGTCCCCAAGACTCTGAACACTCGACTCTCATCTGTGATCTCCTGTGTCACCTGCACAGGAGGACAGGAGACTTTTGGTCTTGTAGTGAAGGCAGATAATTACAGTTTTAGATACAAGTATATTAAACCTGGTGCTGCATCATGTATCCTATGCATGTTGGCTTTAGTAATGAAGGTTTTTGCCTAAAAGGAAAAATCCTGTTAAATGAGCTCATATGGCATACGGTCCCAAAGTTCTTCATTGTAACAGAATGAAATGACTGTTTTCCACCTAAAAGTCATTCCCCCCCTCTCCTCTGACACAGGACTAGTCTGCATGAGATATGGCCTCAAGGTCTCATGCATTTGTTATAAACTGTTTCTTTCCAGCTCAACAGAAGAATGAAGAAAGGACTCTCTCCTTTTAATTAATCAAAGAACTCTATTTTAATAAAGCTAATCAAACAAAGTGTTAGTCAATAATAAGATGTGACCAATCTGTGAAATCAAAATATTAATTACTTTATTATAATCCTATAGAACATAAAAGTAATATGACTTTAAATGTTTCCACTAGGACTGATCTCACGTAGCATTAAGACATGACACATTGCTTTTACTGATCCAATCAGAATCTGCCAGATCTGACGGAGGCGTGGTTTTGGTGGTGTTTGGTAAATCTGTCAACTTTTCATTCGACCATAAACCAAAACATCAGAAGTATAAAACTATGCCCACGTACGTCATCTCTAACGCCAGTTCAAAGCGTTCTAGAGAAGTTGTCGGAGTGGCCAATCCGTAACTTTCCTCTTCAGCCAAAAAAACCAACGACAAGCTGGATAAAATCTGTTGCTGTTCCACCTGCTGCAACGGTTCCTTTCAGAATAAAAGCTGAACCATCACGACCCAGGTTTGGGTCTCGCTAGATGCCAACAAAACTGTCGTGACCCGGAAGTATCTCAAGACTGGTCTGGTCGGCAACCGCTGCTTTTCCTACCTGCATCGGTTCCAGAAAAGGTCAAGCTGGACCTCGACATTCCTGATCTAACGGGGACTTCCACAAGGGTATGTAGGCCGACAAATGGCGTCGAATGTGTTTATGAACCTCCTAACCAAAGCTTAACGCGAAGACATCACCTTCAGTTCCCATCAGAACTAATCGCTTCTTCGGATTTGCTGGTTCTGAGCAACATTCCACATCACACCATTCTCCGTCTCATCCACCTTAGTTACACCATACATTTAGTGTTAAAGTTAGTCTAGTTTAATTTGTTTTTAATACATTTTTAAGCTTTTAAACTTGACTCTCTCTCTTCTGTTGTCTCTGAGTGAATACGAAGCTGTTAACTAATCCCAAGTTCCAATCTTCTGGTTTAAAATAACCTCTCAGATCCATAAGGTGGATTTCATATTTCCAATGGGATCCTACGCCTTATGGCTTATTAAATAACACGTAATTTAAATCCTTACAGAAGGGACTCACCTCGTCTGAATGGAAGCTCCTCCCTTTTAGTCCGTGCTTCCAGAACACCAGCACGCTGTCCTGCAGGCAGACTGTAGCACACCCCCATTACTCAGCTGTCACAGCAACACGAGTGTGAGTCTCTGTCGGCTTCATACCTAGTGTTTCAACGGGGAAGTCAAAGGTTATCTCAGCTGTCAGCTCTCTGGATGGAAATCCCTGCAGATCCACGACCTTAATGGTTTCTGACCAAAAAGCATCAAGATCAGAGTAGATGTCATCAAACGGGGAGGAAGAAAAACTTTCATGGCATTTCTGACACCGAAGTAACTTACTCTCAGCTGCAATGAGAATTGTATCACGGTCCAGCTGAGTTACCTGTACAGCTCTGAGAGCTCCATCACCTGCAGACACGAAAAACGTTCAGTTCCAGCTTTCATCTGAGACCACACGCCCTGAACAAGAACGCTCCTCCTACCTGGCGCTGAAACCAGTGTGCCGTTCAGCTCGATGATATCAAACTTCAGCTGATGGTCGGTCGCGGTGCTGGCACCACGGCACTCTCTCACCCCCACACACAACTGAGGAAACTCATCGGTTACCAGAACCAGCAGCTCAAAGACTGGCAGAGAGTCTGGCAGCTTGATCGCTATGTGCTAGAAGGCAAACAGACGGTGTGCATGAATAATCTGGGATTAGATCACATTTAAGTTTTATATTCTGCAGGCTGTGTGTGGAGGGGTGGATGAACATGACGCAGCAGCGCCATAACTTAAAGGGATTTTACGGACTTTTGAATTTTTATGCTCGCGACTGCCCCCTCAGGCCAAAAGCGTAACAGCAGCATAAATAGTAGGCTCGTACACGAGGCGCGTATGCTGTACGTGCACACTCCTTAACGAAAATAACAGCTGAGACAGTCCCCCGTGTGTGTGTGTGTGTGTGTGTGTGTTTGTGTGTGTGTGTGTGTGTGGCCCGGAGGACAGAGGACAGGAGAACGCGCAGCTAATTAATTAAATAATTTGGTTCTGTACCTTTCTCTTCAGCACAGCCGACAAAGGTTTATGATGGGTCAGTCCTCCTGCATGCTCAGATCATTCCCTTCCCTTGCTTGAAAAACTGATCCAAAATGAAAGTTGAACCCACATCTTTTTTATCTGTGAATTCAATGCCGTTCGGCGAGTCTCAAATAAAAATTTGGGCATCTTACTGTAAAAAATATACCATTAATGTAAAAAAGAAACTCTAAATAAACTATGTTCACACCCAGAATCGAACCCAGGTCTTCTGCACGAGAGTCCGACGTCTTACAAGGTGAGGTAAAGCACCAGTGACGTCCTTGTATCTGTAACATTTATATCCTTGATGACAGCTGAAACAACATTCAAAGAACGGTTCAGAGTGAAAATGGCTATTTTGTTGCTAATTTGCAGGAAATATCTAGAAGAAAGTTCTACAGAAAGTAGCTAAGGGTCCTCAGAAATGTAGCTAGCTTTGTCACTAGGCGTTAGGAACAGCGACAAAGTGGCACTGCCTCTCTCTCTGCTGCTAAAGCTACGGATAGCAAATGCTACGGGCGATGCCTGAGCGTGAACGCGCATGAAGCAGCCTGCTCGACCCGAGCATCTCTCTTTTTCTGTGCTTTTACAGAAAAACAGGCAATCACAGTAAAAATGCCAGGGCTCATTCTACAGGACCAGGGCATTGCAGGAGAATGTATGAAGAAGACATTTATTATTTCTATACATGTTTTGGCTGTCAAACTTCCATAACGCCCCTTTAAAGTTCAGGTTTACAACTCTAATGACGGTAAACGGCGAGATGTGGGGCCGCTGCAGTAGTGCTTTGTCATAATGTAGTCCCAAGTCTAAATCAGCTCCTGTAATTCCTTCATGCTACTTAAGTTAAGGGGCAGCAGCAGCGGTTGTCCAGTAATCAGAAGGTTGAAGGTTCGATTCCGGCTCTGGACAGAGATGGGCCCAACCCACCCTGCCTGCTGGTGGTGGTCGGAGGGACCGGTGGCGCCCTTGTTGGGCAGCCTTGCCTCTGTCAGAGCGCCCCAGGGCAGCTGTGGCTACATCGTAGCTCATCACCATCAGTGTGTGAATGGATGAATGATACACTGTAGTGTAAAGTGCTTTGGAGTCCTTACTCTGAGAGGCACTATACAAGTGCGGGTCATTTATCATTTATCATTTATTTTCATTTGCAGTTGATTCGATTACTGAGGTAACCCAGAAGAATTAGGATTGTTAACGAGTGATTTTCAGCTAAATGCTAGCTGTTACCATTCACTTACATTGTTTATGCTAAGCTAAAGCTAACAGAATACTGCCAGATTAGGAGTGGGCTGGTTACAAAATGCTTTTTTCCAATTGATCTAACTCTTGGTAAATGTCATGATCCGCCCCAGCCTCCCTGACTGTCTCTCCTGCCCTGATTTGCCTAATCGTTCTCACCTGTCCCTGATTACTCTGCCCATGTGTTCCTGATTCCCTTGTGTATTTATACCTCCCTCCTGGTTGTTGTCTTTGTCGGTTCATTGTCGTTGTCCATGTTCGTTCGTCCTGTTGCTCCCGTCCTACAATAAACAGCTTTTTATTTTTTACATCCGTCTGCCTGCTCATCTGCCTCCGGAACCCACCACCACACATGGTCTGCCACCTCCACCCGCAGAACATGACAGTAAATAGCAGCAGATTAAATTTCCCTCAGAGGTGGAATATCCCTTTAAAGAGAAAGAGAGCTAACCTTTAGATACATGAACTTCTGGAGGGGTTCATACCACAGCAACAGAACCAGGCCTGTAGGAACCGCCCCACACAGAAACGTGCTGTCGGTGTACGGGTTTCTAGCTGCAGGAAACACACACGAACATCTGACCAAACAGACCTACAACAGCCTCTCTGGAACTTCTCAGGACGACTTTTGAAGCACTTACCTACACTGCACCTCCTGCAGCCTTTAGTGTCAGATATTTTCACAGATATGGCAAATTTTCTACAAGTGAGAAGTTCCCAGTTTAGAAACGACACGCCGACTCGGGTTTCAGAGAAGAACACCATCTGTCTCCAAACCTGTGGATGATCCTGTCGGTGAAGCGGTTGGTGCTCAGAGACAAACTGCCGTGCTTCTTTTGGAGATGTCCTCTCTGTTCAAACAGAGCGGTCAGGTTGTGGGAGCAAATCTGGGACGATTTTCCTGCACAGAGGAGACGTTCTGATGATGGATGAAGTCACAGTGGGGCAGCAGCACCAAAACAAAGGTACATGTAGGCAGTAAGCTGGTGGTGTAACCTTCAGCCACTAAAAACCACTAATGATAATGAAGAATTAGGGTTCCAGCTCTATGCAGCATCTTGTAAGGGACACAGACATCCTACGTGAATCACGAGTAGAGACGGGAAGGGAGCAGCAAATGCTGAGCAAGCAGAAATAAAAACCCTCTGACTCGGGTTGGTGCCAACAGGGGAACGATCAGATCGGTCAGATTTGACTGTTTCCGGGTAAAATGATCAGCAGGTCTCAGACCTTCCGTGTAGGATCTAAAACAGGGGTGTCAAACTCATTTTAGCTCAGGGGCCACATTGAGGGAAATCTGGTCCCAAGTGGGCCGGACCGGTAAAAAAAAAAACAAAAAAAAAAACTTCAGATTGTTTTCTTTGTTTTAATACAATCAATATGAAACGAAGCTGGAGCCTGAGGACAGTGTAGTACAAGTACAACACCTGAAGTGTGCTTGAAAAATTGAAAAAAAAAATAAAAAATCAATACATAATAAAAACATTCATTAGTGATTCCAAAGAGCTTACAGATCACATGGCTAGATCAGTTTCATGCAGCACTTAAAGTATATTTGACTCATTTTACTTTACATCTTTTAGCTTTCACCAGCACATCAACATCAGGAGTCACATCCTGAGTGGCGGCCAACTTCAGGATGTGATTCAAGTTCTTGTGTGAGCCTTGAGCGCAGCTTTGTTTTATTTATACTCATTACAGAGGAAACTTGCTCACAAAGATACGTTTATTTTCACTCTACATTGTAAAGTATGAAAATAAAGTTTTCACAACCATCTCGCGGGCCGGATTAAACCCGCTTGCGGGCCGCATCCGGCCCGCGGGCCGCATATTTGACACCCCTGATCTAAAACCTTTACTGTTCCTGACACCAAAGTTCAGTCCTGTGCAAAAACTCTCCTGCATCCGACTCAGCGCAGCTCCAGAGGCGGTTTCTTCTCATTCCAGAACATTTTAGTTAAACATGTGAAACGTTTGTTGAACCAACACCGCTCACATCTAAGCATGCTTTAGGGTTAGGTGACGGTGTTTAGAGACATGACGTGAATCCAGCAGATATTACCTGAGACAGACATCAGCACGTTGTTCATGACATACAGCCAGGTACACCTCTGGGGGAGCAGCTGTGGAGAGGACACAGAGTCACTTTGGGAATGACCTTTGACCTTTCCCAGACTGATGCGCAGCAGCAGCTCCTTGCTGACGTATTTCCTCCTTGTGCTAACACACAGCTGTATGCTCCAGGGCCTTTCCTGTGGCGCGGTATGGGGGCCAAAATTAAGACTACTGCCCAGCAGCAGGAGGCTATATAAAATCTGAAGCAAACTACCGACCTGATGAATGATAAGCTGGCGCTGCTTACTGAGAAACAGCACCTTTACCGGCGTTACTACTAGATACGCTAGGGACTAGCAGCCCTCGGCTGGTCATTAACTGGTTCAAACACTCCCTCTGCTGTCTATTAGCATGGATAGGCTAGCGTTAGCCTGGACGGGCTGGTGTTAGCATTGGAGAGGCTAGCCATTAGCATGCCTAGGCATGCCACTAGCTGGATTTCCTACCCCCTTGACGGACCTTAGGCATGGATAGGCTGGCATTAGCATCAGAGAGGCTAGCCATTAGCATGTCTCAGAGACATGCTAATGGCTAGACATGCCCCCCCCCCCCCCCCCCCCCCCCCCGGCTGCACCCCCTCCCGTGGTCCAGCCTAACGTTTCTGGTCCAGCTGGCTGGTTTGCTTCCTTGGCACCCAGCTGGCAGTGTATCCCTCGGGGTTGGCCGACAGCAATAGAAGCAAATCCAATCTCCACCACCAGGACTATGCCGACAGCACAGCCCCTTAGGACGTCACTTCCTCTTCTTCGGTGGGGTAAAATGGGTTTCACGCTGCAGCAACTGGAGGTTCAAACTCTCCCATCTCCTCCACCTGGACTCCAGCTCCAGACCAGAGTTCCAGCTACAGCCTTCCCCTGTGGCTTTGCTCAAGGTCCACATTTTTCTTGTGTTCCCACCTCCTGAGGATCCATTTCCTGTGTGCCTGCACCTCTTCCTGTATCCCCAGCCTCTTACGGCCCGTCGACTTCCATTCCTGTGTCCCCGGTGTCGGTTCTAAAGGCTCTGCCAGTCCCCGCTTCCCCAACGCCAGGTCCCAAGAATTTGCCGGCCCCTGAGGTTCCTGTACCTTTGACACGGGCCCCCCCAGGGCTCACTAGGCCCCTTCGTGACTGTGTGTGCTTGGCCCTGTGTTTTGTGTGTGTTCTTGTGTTTATGGTGTTGTTTCCCTCCTGCCTGCCCCTGTTGGGTTGTTTTTGGTTTTTGCCCCCTGCGCCCGCTCCTTTGTTTTTCTGGTCCTGCCCTTAAGGTGGAGGTTATGTCAGGAGGTGTTTTCCAGCCCCTGCCATCTCCATGTTTGGTCTTCGCCAGCAGTGGTATGTCCAGGCCGTGTAGAACGGGGAACCCTGTGGTCTCCTGGATGTGCCTGCCCTAACACTGGATTAAAAAACTTTACACCTCCCCATGACAGGAATCCATCATGTTTGAGTTAAGTTGTGATTTCTCTCAGCGCGCTTTGCTTCTTGACGAGAACACACCTTACCTTTTCTAGAGTATCCTCATGAAGCTCGTTGAGGTTCAGTGTGTAGATTCCCTCCTCTGCTCCAAGAATAAGATACTGATCTAAAGTTGGAAAAGCTTCTATTAAAGCAAGCTCAGCTAACATAACATCTACTCAGATGGCAAGCGTCTAACCTCGTGTTTTGGGTAAAATCCAGGTGACGGCACAGTGGATCTTAAGAGGACAGCCGTTGAAGACTTTAGAGAAGCAGGCTCCCATCTAGAGAGCAGAGGTCACCCGGGGTCATGTTACCAAAGGCATCCTGTTCTTTGTTCTGAGCTGGTCATTTGTCATTTTGCACCTAAGTAACTCCAAAATATTAGCAAGCAGAAGTTGGTTTGTCAAAAACAATGGGTGTGTCCGAATCCGTGGGAAGGATGCTTGTAAGAGTGCAGTTTGAGGTCGATGACGTCACAGCGCAGCGACGAGTACTGTCCGAATTCCAAGAATACTCATTCTCGCGTCCTCAAACGCGTCCTCGCTCCGCCCACATTTCGAGGACGGGTCTGTTGTATCCTCACAGAACAAGGCTATCCCAGCATGCTTTGCGCACCGGCTGCGGATTTTCAACAGGAAGAGAAAATGGGGAGAGCTACGAAGTTTTAAACGTAAGTTTGTTTAAAAACTAGCCGTAGAAATCTAAAAAGCTTAAAGTGGTTCTGTTTAGACATTTTTCATTTGTTTATTTGTTTTTAAATTACATTTTAGGCAGAAATCAGCCAGAACGAGTTTGTATCGCAGGTCCCGTTTGTGTGTGTGTGTGTGTGTGTGTTGAATTAAACTTGTCATTTGTTTTAGGGACAACAGAGTGTTTTTATTAAGCTTAGATGTGAAGAGTGAAGCTGCCTTGCCAGACCGGCGAGGACCCGTACTCATAAGCATCCTGCTCCTGGGTTCGAACACCCCCCCAGTGTACAGCTCGTTCAGACAAACCATGTTAACCATGAGGAGGGTTTTGTTGCTGGTAGCATGCTGTTAGAGGTCACACTTACATGGACTTGAGGGGTGGGAGGAAGTCCATGAAAACCAGCTCTCTAGAAATTACAAAGGTTCCACAAACAGGAGTGATGAAGACACGAGGCACCAATCAACATTTCCTTTACAAATAAATCATCAAACGGTTCGAACCGAGTCATTAGAGTGTTATTAGGTTAGCAAGTCACACCCAAGCTTCTCGTGGACAGATGTAGTGGTCTCACCGAGTCCTCGGGCTTCTTCCTCAGGGTGCTCCACTCAGGTGAAAGAGGTGTCTCTCTTCTCTCCACGAGGACCTTCTTCTCTGCTGCTACAGCAGTCTTCGGGGGCAGGCGTGGGTCGTGGTGGTGCTGACTGATGTCCTGGGTAGCGGAACACCTCGCCAAGACTTAAAGGACAAAAAGAGTTCATGAAAAAGTTCCCACCGTTTGTTTTTTACTCTTTTATTGTGAGAAAAAAATCAAGTTCTCAGTGTTTCCTGGTTGCCACTAAAGCCAGACTAAAGCCTGATTCATGCTTCTCCGTCTGCGTCAGCGCGGAGACACGCAACGTCCTTGCGGACCTGGCGGAGAGCTCCGCAAGGACGGATGGAGTCGAGCTCTCTTTTCTAAACATCCGTCAGTCGAGACGGACAACGCAAGCTTGTGATTGGTCAGGACGCGGCTGTTGTCTACGCCGCCGTTATTGCGCCGTCAAAAACATAAAGAGAGCCGAGGATAACTAGCGGCAGACACGGAGCAGCTTGAAGAAGACCTCGCGAAAAAACTCTAAAAACATGAACGTTTAATTCTCCTGTGACTGGAGGAGTGAAAAGATACGCAGCAAGCGTTTTATTTGTGGACGGAAATGACAGGAAACGTGGGTTTAGAGGTGGCGAGCGCATGAAGAGGTGGAGGAGGATGAGAGACAAATTTGTCCGTGTTAAAAGTCTCTTATGCACAAAAAAACACAATATTAACACACTATCTTGGACCGATACATGACAGGATACCACAGAACAGCGCTACGCCCTCTGTTGCCCAGCCGGGGAATTGCTTTGCAACACTCCCCAGGAGACGGAGAAGTAAAAGAGCAAAACACTTCCGTCAATCCGTGCGTGTCTGTCCCTTGCGGAGCTGACGGAGAAGCATGAACCAGGCTTAAGCCCAGACTAAGCTACCTGTCCGGGTCAACCTTGGAGACTTATAAACTCTGATCTAAAACCTGTAGGGTTAGAGTCCCTCAGATTCGTTGCTTGTTTGAAAGTGTGTTTAATTTAAAACAAGCTTGTTTAAACTCAGGTCTGACAGGAAGGTGTCTGTGTTGCACCTGAAGTAGAACCGGAATCAGCTGGAACGGCGCTGTCTGGGCCAAGTGTGCAGCTGGGCCTCAGGGTCAGGTCTCTGTCCTCTGAGTTGGGCGTTAGCGAGCTGAAAGCGGGGAGCGAGGCTGTAGGACTCATCAAACCACTCTTCTTACCTCCCTAAGGAAACAGCAGCGTGCAGATGACTCAGTCTGATGAACACACACTGTTCACTCGAGCCTAGAGACGATTTACGCGTGTGGGGTGAGTGTGTGATCTGCTCCGTCTGTTGGGTTTCTTCCTCAAATATCAGAGCGAAGACAGAAAAGTTCTTACTCACATCAGCAGGTGGCGCCCTGCGGATGGTTAAACTCCTGCAAGACAAGAGATCAACAGTCTCATCACTCTAAACCCGAACCACCAAATTCTGCATCCGAGGAGAGGAAGCACCACCACACCAAGCCGGACGACAGAGGGGATGGCGGGGGAACGGCAGCACAAAAACACCTCAGACAAGCAGACAACGAGGACTCAAATCTGCATCCATGTCACCGTTTCAGGGCAGCATTGGCAGTGAGTGAGCACAAACCCCCCGATCACAGCAGAGACACCCACATCTTCATCTTCATCACACATTTATTTCAGCCGATTTCAAGTGGGAGGGGAAAACACTGCTGTTAGGAGGAGCTGGGGGACGGGCGTGGCCTACCTCATCTGCAGAGCTTCTTCCACACATTCCAACAGGCTCCTGCAACAGGAAGACCTGCTGTTTATCTGACTATAGGCCTGGGGGGCCATGGAGGAGAGAGAGAGTGTGTGTGCATGCGTGCGTGTGTGCGTGTGTGTGTGCGTGTGTCCTCAAAGCCTCTGGTGCTAACCAGGTTACTGCAGAGTCAACGAGTGAGTGGGTGAGATGAACAGTGAAATGTAAAATCAACCTGATGTGGCACCTGGTGACTGTTTTAAACACGTTATCGTCATGGGAACGCCTCGGAGCGTAGCTGAAAGCGGTAGAATCTGATTTTACCTGATTCAGCCTCATCATCCATCCTCACACAGGTTCACATATCTATTAGCAGCTGCAGCTGCCATCAGATTTAACATCTGAACATCTCCAGGCAGAATTTCCATAGCAGATTTAATCTCAGTGTGGAAAAGAAAATGACACTTACGGCGCGTTGTCCTCGTCCTCAGACAGACTCCAGTCGTCGTCGTAGGAGTTCTGCGGAAAGAAAAGCAATCCAGACGCTTTGGTTGCATGAATGAGTGAATCATGGAGGTCATCAACGTGCAGAACAGACGCCTTTACCAAGTCAGAGTAGGGCTCCGTGACTTTTCTCACCAGAGGCCTAAACTTCACCAGGTCAACTGGAAAAACAATAAAGAGCTGTGCTGAAACAACCAAACTACAACAAAACAAATTCATGTACAAAAAAAACTACAACAGGAGGAACCAAACTACAACAAAACAAATATATGTATAATAAAAACAAACTACAACAAAACAAATATATGTACAATAAAAACAAACAAACTATAACTGGAGTAAACAAACTACAACAAAACAAACGTGTACAACAAAATCAAACTAACTACAACGGGAGTAAACAAACTACAACTAAACAAATGAATGTACAGAAAACATTCAACAATTACAACAAAAAAACACATATGTGCAACAAAAACAAACTACAACAAGAGTAAACAAACTACAACAAAACAAATAAATGTACAACAAAAACAAACAAACAAAACAAAACAAATATATGTACAATAAAAACAAACTACAACTGGAGTAAACAAAATACAACAAAACAAACAAATGTACAAAAAAAAACAAAGTACAACTAAACAAAGAAACACATATATGTACAACAAAAACAAACAAACTACAACTAAACAAATTAATGTACAAAAAACTAACAAACTACACCTAAACAAATATATGTACAATTAAAAACAAACAAACTACAACAGGAGTAAACAAAACACAACAAAACACACAAACGTACAACAAAAACAAACTACAACCAAAAACAACAAAACACATATATGTACAGCAAAAACAAACAAACTACAGCAGGAGTAAACAAACTACAACAAAACAAACATGTGTACAACAAAATCAAACCAACTACAACGGGAGTAAACAAACTACAACTAAACAAATGAATGTACAAAAAACAATCTACAATTAAAACAACAAAACACTCTCCAGGAGACGGAGAACAAACTGCAACAAAAACAAACTACAACAAGAGTAAACAAACTACAACAAAACAAACAAACGTACAACAAAAACAAACTACAACCAAAAACAACAAAACACATATATGTACAGCAAAAACAAACAAACTACAACAGGAGTAAACAAACTGCAACAAAACAAATACAAGTACAAAAAAAACTACAACAGGAGTAAATAAACTACAACAAAACTAATGCATGTACAAATAAACCAAACAAACTACAACTAAACTAATATATGTACAATAAAAACAAACAAACTACAACTGGAGTAAATAAACTACAACAAAACAAATACATGTACAACCACAACAAACAAACTACAACTAAAGAATTATATGTACAATAAAAACAAACAAACAAACTACAACAGGAGAAAACAAACTACAACAAAACAAATACGTGTACAACAAAAACAAACTGCAACAGGAGTAAATAAACTACAACAAAACAAATTAATGTATAACAAATCAAACTACTACTAAACAAATAAATGTACAACAAAAAACTACAACAAAAAATACATGTACAACAAAAACAAACAAATTACAACAAAACAAATATATGTACAATAAAAACAAACAAACTACAACAGGAGTAAACAAACTACAACAAAACAAACTAAATATTTCATTAGTAAACAAACAACAACGGAAGTAAACTAACTACAGAAACTTAAAACTAATCACAACTAACATCAAGACTAACCAAACAAATGTGTGTACAACAGGAGCAAACAACAATAATAAATTACAGACTACGTCAGGAGTGAACTACAACTGATGTAAACAAACAACAGCTGAGATAGACAAGCCATGGCTGAAGAGAAAGAACCACAATGAGAGTAAACAAAAGACAAGAAATAACAAACTATATCGGTAATGAACAAACTACAACAAGTAACTAACTATGTTGAGAGTAAACCAACTGCAGCTGAAGTAAACAAACAACAATCAGGCTAAACAAACTACTGCTGATGCTAACAAACTACAGAAAAAGTAACCAAACTACAGCAGAACAAAACAAACTGTGTTGGTGGTGAACACTTAATGCTGTTAGTCAAGTTAAATATCAAATATTTGTAGAATTAAGCAACACAATTTGTTCCTAATTAATTAATTAATTCTACCTAATTATTTTAATTGTGTCAGACATCAATTTTCAAGTGTATCAGGCTTTCTTCCACAGCAGCAGCAGATGTTCTCATGCAGACTTGACCTGGAAACTCTGTTTCCCACCAGAGTGAGGACGGTAGATGTTCTCAGATTCCAGCAGCAGAAGAACAAAAGCTCCCAGCCAGGAAAGGGCAGCTGGCAAAGGTCACCCACCTCACCCCAGCTGCTTTATTACAGTAACCCGTTGTTGTCATTTCATCCTTTAAGTTTCAGGAAGCAGTTGGCGTCCTCCTGATAACGCAAGAGCCTTAAGCTCATGTCAGGGTAGCTAAATGTTAGATTACAACAACTGCTTGTGAGTCGGCTGATGGAGGAGGTTATTGGTACTCCAAGGTCAGAGGTCGCCCACTTATACAGACAGAAACAGTTTCACCCATTATGGTGATGTTCTGATGGAAGAAGTATGAGGGTCAAAGTTCAGACCAAGGAAGTGGAAGAAAAGAACACATGAAGTTCTTCTAACCTGTGGGGCTGATTTTAGGGCATCCAGGAAGTCAAGAAAACAAACCCAACCCGGAAGACTGAACACCCATCACCAATGCTGACCAGCAGATACAAAACACCTGAAACGCGAAACCCAGACCAGTCCAGCACCAACACCTCAGACCCTGAGGCTGAGCTTCACATTGAAGTCGTCAGTGTGCAGCAGCGAAGTGGAGGAGCAGGTGTTTGTGGTTTCAGTTATGATGCCGTAATGCACAGGAAGTGGAGGTTAACATCTGGTTGAAATACGCAGACGTGCAGGATGTGAGACCAGCCTGTTACAGCAGGGGTCTGTCATGCACCAGGCATGAGGTCACTAGTCTGTCATGCACCAGGCATGAGGTCACTAGTCTGTCATGCACCAGGCATGCAATCATCCTCTTGATGACGTCTTCTACGTCCCACATATACAGAGGACTTACAGGACGAGGACAGCCACAACCAAGATAACTGAGAGGCTTTGTCCTCCTTCATACTGTGGCTTTTACAGGGCTGAGGACCAGGGTCATGGTGGACAATGAAGCTACTCTCCAGCTACAGTTAACACTCTCACAATCACACACAGTCACAAGCAGAATGCTCACGTGTTCACGAGCACATAAGGAAATATCAGAAAAGTGAACTTCATGGACCTGACCCTAGCCTCGGGGTTATTAAGACGTATAACTGGATAGTTTAGGCTGCCATCCGTAAATCACAGAATTCATGGAGACATTTTGATTAGTTGGTGTTCAATTAGCTCTTCATTTTGAGACCTTTATGCCAATGATCCTGGAGACTTTTGTTTTGAAAGCACATCACGTTAAAAATAAAATCCCCGTCATTTAGAAAGAACATGCTCTGACGTCAGCTAGCAACAAATCGGGTTCAGTTCAATTCAGTTTATTTATAAAGCGCCAAATCAGGACCAGAGTCATCTCAAGGACCATCACATAGTAAACATTCCAATTCAGGTCAGTTCATTAAGCCAATCAGTAAAAAGTTTCCTATATAAGGAACCCAGCAGGTCGCATCGAGTCACTGACTAGTGTCAGAGTCTTTACAGCAATCCTCATACTAAGCAAGCATGCAGCGACAGTGGAGAGGAAAACTCCCTTTTAACAGGAAGAAACCTCCAGAGGATCCTGGCTCAGTATAGAGCTCCGGGAGTTGACGTCACTTCTCCCGGCATGCAACAGTTCAAATTGAAACTGCGCCATCTTGGCAGGCAGAAACCCGCAGCTGGGCTATTTGTTATTGTCAGAAAACTCAAACAGGAAATATGGTAGATTCCTGTTGTGCCCCAGGATGCAGAACAGACGCGGACAACATAAGAAATGAGCCATCTACAGGATTCCCCAAGATCCGGAGCGCCGCAAACGTTGGATCATTGTAATAAAACGCGCTAGTGACCGGGCTAAAATGAAGCTGTGGGATCCCGAGAGTAAAGGTTTTCACTTATGCAGCGACCGCTTCATGTCAGGTACTTAAACCAACGTTTCCTCAACTGTGTATGGTATTTATTTTAAATGCTTTTATTACGATTCTTAGTGGGCTTCCTAAACTTATTATGGCGGGGCTTTTTCTGTCTTATTACTCATAGCAACAAGTAAACGTCACGTAAAACGTTGCCTCGTGAGTTCTGCGTGCTGCCGTTTACGTGTTTTATGATCACAGCAATTAACCGGCTAAGCTGTATTTAATTTTTAAGCAATGGTTGATCAATTGTCAGATCACACATAAAAAGCACTTTGGATTGCTATTATCTGTCTCACCGAGTCAGATCTCAGACAGATCCTGAGACGCTCCTGCCTGACATATTTATTTTATTCACGGAAAAAAATCAAACTAGTGATTTCTCTTGGAGTTCAGTTTATACATTCAAACAGCACAGCACTCTATTTAAACTACTTACATGTAAATCTGTTATTTGTCCATCCATCCATTTTCATCCGCTTATCCGGAGTCAGGTTGCGGGGGCAGTAGCCTAAGTCGAGAGGCCCAGACTTCCCTCTCCCCAGCCACTTGGGCCAGGTCCTCCGGGGGAATCCCAAGGCTTTCCCTGGCCAGGTCCGGTAAGAAGTCCGCTCCGACAGCTTCTGGCGTTTTTAAAAAGTATCCCGGGGGCACGGTAAGGGTCAGAGATGTTTAGTCTATTTAATTTCTGACTGTATAAAACGATTTCTTCGGTTTTAAAGTGTGAAGTAAACTCCGACGAAGTAAAATCCAAGCCGATCCCGTTCATGTTCATGTTTACGATCCGTGTTTGTTTACCTTTTATGCCTGCCAATATGGCGTCTACTAACTAGAGTCACGTGGGGTCCGGAGCTCTATAAGCAGCCATCCACCATGACTCACTGGGGATGGAGAAGACAGAGCACACACGCACACGCACGCGCACGCACGCACACACACACACACACACACACACACACAACATATATACTATACATATATATAGGTGTTGACACAGTCTGTGACTGCTTCAGCTGGAGTCGGTAAACAAAGGAAGATGTGCAGCACAGCCATCAGGTCTCAGCTGAACCAGGAGTGGGTTTAGGGCCTCTGCTGGCTGACGTAAACCAGTAGCTGTGGACCATAATCTCTTGTTGCAAACAGCTCTGAACCAGTGAGCTGCTAATTAGCATATTTTGTACTGTTGGTGGTTTATTAGCTGCTACACAGTGCTAGTATACATAAAACCCGTTGGATATTGAGGTAAAAACTTAATTTTCAGTGATCTATTTTTGAGTTGCACGCATGGACCCACAAACAGAGACAATAATTCAGGTATCAGAAGCTGGTCCAAGCCGTTTGAGGCTCGGTTAGCGTGCTGTTGACAACACCGCGCAGCCCTGTTCAGCTCTCAGGCCCTGTGGCTACTCAGTCACCAGACCAACCTAATCACACGCCTGCTTTAAAATGCTCCGGATTTCATGTGCGTGGTTCTAAGTCACCATTAATTGCTTAATAACAATTAAGCGCTGTGATTTTGATCAGAAGAGT